CGGGCATAAACCAGTCCGTGGCGCAAAAAAGGTTGGGGACCGCTGACTTAGCGCACAAAGGTTACTAGCGTTAGCCACGGATAACGTGAATCAACTCTCTTCTTTGGTCACATCAAACGCCTTATAAACAAGAATTACACTCCAAACATGTTACTTTAAACAACTATCAACTTTACGTAAATGTATAGAGTTCTCGTATACTGCTCTCACCTGAAACACAGCAAAACAGCAGTTCTGTGTCACTGACAGCTTCCATTACAATAACTGGCCTGCGTTACTTTTGTAAGGGATTATTTTGCCAGTCTCTCATTTGTCTGAGACGCCACTGCCACCTACTGGCGAAACTAAATATCGCCTTAAAACCAAATCAGGTGGGAGCACACGTTAAAAAACTTCAACAAGAATTCTGAGGCTTGTTTTTGATCCTTAAAATACTCAGGATGCCACAATTATCAGGATGTTGACTTTATCTCACCCACACCACCAGACTACTCCTTTTGTAGACTAATCCATTGTGTATATTAGGATTGTCTCAATGTCAGAGTTCATTCAACAGTTGATCATGCTACAAAGAGAAATCACTTTAAGTCCATAACGACGGATGTTCTAATGCATTTACGTGTAGTTATTACACAATTATCTATGAAGTCTTTTAACATGTCAACCATTGATTTTCAAATATCAAATACACCCCTACACACACACACACACACACACACACACACACACACACACACACACAATGTGAAAATGTGACATAAAAAATAATTAAACAAAGATTATCTTACATTTTCAAGCAAGACTTTATATACAGTCTTCGAGCAAAAGTAACAAAACTTCACAAACTGAAGTGGATTTGTTTCATTTTTAAGCTTGTCTGTTTCTAATCTCTCCCTCACTGTTCTGTTTCTCCGTTATTTTATTGGTGGTCAAGCTGACTGCTCATGGAAGGAAAAACTAAAACCAGGAAATGTCCCAGTGCTGCTGAGGGGCAGAAGGTCACTGGTTCTAACCCATGCAAACGTCTTATTATAAATATTCTAACATTATAATCGCTAATTATGTGCTTTTCACACAGGAAATTTTCTCCCGCTGTGATGTTTCGAAAACAGGGACGCTGTCACTAAGCGAGCTGAGAAATGCTATGATAGCCTCAGGTAGACCTTTAATTTTAAAACCCATTTTAAGATACTGTTGGAACACAAAACTATCCTGTGATTATTGAGTCTTTCACATTTTCTATGTAAAACAATGGTATAGTTAACATTTTTAGAAAAACAAAATGAACATGAAAACAATGGTCCCTCTAACAATCATTTATTTAAATCTCTCCCTTCATGCAGCTCTGTATCAGGTTTTAGCTCAGTGTTTAGCTGTCTGCTTATTTTTGGTCACTTTCTGTAGTGGTGGCTCTCACACTATGTGGCACCCAGAAGCTGGTAAAGACCAAAAACCAAGCTTAAAGAGTCTAAATAAGTGGGCTATATGACTGGTTACCAACGAATTAAATTGTCATATTAAAGTTTTTTATTTGCAACATGTCTCTGCTTCTTCTATGTGGCCAAAATGATTATTCCTCAGGTTAGTAAAATACCAAAGTAAGGCATTAAAGCAGAGAAAAGATCAGGATCCAGCTTAAATTCTACAATGAAGACAGTAATGGCAATCATACATTCAGTATTAATATGTTCTGAAGGTTATGTAAATAGTATTTTTGTAAAGTATTAGCACTTGCTTTGATATTCTACACAAACCACCTGTCTAGCAGCGTGTCTGTTTGTATCTGGTAGCAACCAGCCCTAATACACACTCCACTGACTTCATCTTATGAACTGTATGTTGGTCAGGAAAGAAGATCAGCGATGAGATGCTGAATTTGATGGCTCTCCGTTACGGCACCTCGTCTGGGCACATTACTCTGGAGAGCTTCATCAGTCTAGTACTCCGCTTTGAATGCATGTATCGTAAGTAAAACTGAAGAAAATTACAGTTGACATATTTTATATTCTTCAAAGGTTAAAAGTTGTCAACTGTGGAACTTGAATTAGATTTGAATATCTGCAATATCTGTCTTTTCTCTTTATTTTCTTTACAATTAGAAATTACTCAGAAATACTCATTACATCACTGACGGGACACCAAAAGGATGAAGTCAGAACAAGTTGTGAAACTTCTCCTACTTTTTCTTAACTATAAGGATTTATGTCTTTCTCCACAGAAATCTTCAACCAGTTGTCTGATGGCAAGGCTATGACTCTTCAGGAAACAGAGGTGACTACAGTTCATTTTAAAATAGTTAATGAATCATGTCATGCATGCGCGAGATTTTAAGGTATGAAACATTAATAATCTATGATTTTTTATTGCAGTGGATGTACATTGCAATGTACACTTAACCTGACAGAGGAGATGACCTGCAGGAATGAGAACAAAGAAGAAATAAACAAAAAAAGAGTTTTTCAGCATGAAAAAAAAAATCATGATATGCAACCACTGGGTGAAGGTTTACAGTATATGAACAGGGCAGCAGAGTTAGACTACAAATCTGTGAGGAGTAGAAACTTTACAGTACAACAGATAGAACCGTGAGTGTGCAGCATCTGTGATTATTTTACACTGAAATCATTTTTTACAAAAACTAATTCTACCTGCTGTAAGTTTTCAAGTTCAAAGGTGGTGGTGCTTTAGAAGCACAAAGTTTGTGTCAAATCTTTATAGCCCATGTACTCCACCTTTGCTAAATGTTTCTGTTACTGAAGTTCTTTTTAAGTGGGTTGCTGCATTTTCTTTTCCACTGCTATGATACCGTAAGAGGTTTTTTTTTTTTGATTGTCTCCCAACCTAGAGTCACATTGAAATATGCAAAAAGCTTTTGGATGATGTGAGATTAAATTTGATGTCTTGGGAAAAAATGCATTCACTCTTGTGATTGGATAACCTTTCATCTAGTGCCATCAATTGGTTGAAACTTTACTTTGTTATTTAGCTGAGACCATGTGTGCCTGTACGTGCAGCCTTATGGTGCCAGGATATCTGATATGTCTGTAAAAAGTGTTTCTGATAGAGCATTTTAAGTGGGTTACTGAATTTTTAGCTTGGAATGGATTTTTTTTTTTTTTATATTATTATCAGCTTCTACACAAAGAAATGATTCAAGCAGCTACGACAAGCATCAGAATTTCACGTACAAACCCCCTTTTTAGATGAAAAAAATAAATGAATGAAAAGCATGACATAAAAACTGAGCCTCACTGAACAGAGAATTCACAAATCAATTCTTTGGCCGCCATTTAAAAAACACTCAGATAAAATGCTCTGAACCCTAAACCTTTCATTCTTAAGCTTGAGTTTAAAGTTTTGAATTTACAACAGAGCGAGAAACTATTCAAAAATATGATGCCTGATCGTTCTGATTGTTTAACAGGCAGAGACATAGGCGTCAGATATTTATTTCCATGTTTTTATTGATTTTATCAATAGCAATACAGTTGAAATAATGACAGAACAGAAAATTTCTTGGTTCAAATTATAATGTAATTTAGTTTTAAGAAAGATTTGCCAATGATTATTAGAATTTATTAGAAGTTCTTCATTTTAAAATTCCAGAGTACTATTAAAATATATTAAAAAATAAAGATTACATCATAGTTTTGATTACATATCAGTTAAATTATTTGACATATGGATGAAGCAGAAATTAAACATTTGAACGGTAATTTGAATAAATTAAACAAATAAATAAAATATTCACCCTCAAGCTACATTAAAAAAAAATCACTGATTCATGATTATTGATTATTATAAGAATGTGAAAGCTAGGTATGTTTTTAGGCTGGTTGTAGTAGCATTTGTAGTACAGCTGTTAGCAGAGCACCCAGCATCATAGTTGTCTGGGATTTTCCAAGCTCCACTTCCCCATTGGTTAGAGGGGCAGTGGTGGTGCTGTTGGAGCCTGGTGCAGTGGTGGTGCTGTTGGAGCCTGGTGCAA